TATTTTATTATTAAAAACTTAAACATCTAGATAATTAATGAGAATTTATCAAATTTATTGATATTTTATTTGATTTTGATACAGATGATGCTATTTAAGCAATATTAATGATGTAAAATATATAAAGTTCAAAATTAAAAAATGAAATAGAAAATTAAATATCCTCCTTTTTTACTTCTAAAATTAATAAAATAAATTTTTTAACTTACCATCATGAGATTATCTATTAGTTTAATTAGTAATATTATTATTATAATAAATTATTTTATTATATACTAAATAATTTGTTATAGTAATAATGAATTTTTTTATAACAAAGCTTGATCAATCTAAATGCCAAATTCATTATATTAATATTTAACTATATAAGTAATATTAACTTAAATGTTTATATATTAAACAATATATGTAATAAAATTTTTTTAAAATTAATATTAAATCAAATATGATTTCATCAAAATTTTTATAAACATATTAATTCAAATTTTTAATAAATTTGAATTATAAATTTATCAGAATATTATAAATAAATACTAATCTGAATTTTCTTACTATAAAAAAAATAGATTTGAATTTTACAAACTGATCACATTTAGAATTTTGTCATAAATCATATGATTTTTTAATTAAATAATTTTCAATTAAAATGATTATTATTAAACTAATATAATATAATCATTTATTTAAATATTTATCATGTGACTTATTATTAGTCACTAATTCAATATTAATAATTATCACTAAGTTAATATTAAATTAAATTAATTATGTTACATTTTTATATTAAAAAATCTAATTAATTATATTTTTTAATATAGGCTAATTTCTTTATAATAAGAATTAATTAGTAAATTATAAATAATAAATCATCTGACATTTATATTATATGATTAGTAAGTAAGGTATTATCTTTTTTAAAATTACCATCAAAAAGCTTAAATATATGATTTATATATGCATATTATAATTTATAAATGTAATAAAATAGCAACTTTTCATTCATTAAGAGCTGTGTTTTTATTTTGCTATATCTCATAACAGGACGTAAAGAAATCATGGTAAAAGGATAATAATAAACTATGTAATAGAGTTGATGTGAATACACACGCAGTGACTTTATTAGATAACGATAAGGGTATTAATATAAATATACTTTTATTAAATAAATTTAAAATTCTTATGCTTTTTTTTTATTTTGTTTTTTTTTGATATTACTTTTTTATATTTATATACTTATTCTTAATATTAATAACAAAATTTTTTAAAATATTTTCAAGCATTTTTACTATAATTTTTTTCAAATTTTTTATTTTTGATATTATTCTTTTATCTTGAAATAAATATCAATATTTTTGAATTTTTAAGTTATAAAGCTAAAGAAATTTTTAAATAACTTAAAATTTATAAAAACTTTTAATCATACATTTAAAGAATTGGTAAGAATTAAAAAATATGAAAATATATAATAATTAACTTACTGTGACTAGATATTAATCTTGATAATTACAGATTTACAAATGTGTGATAATATACAGAATGTCAAAAATGTCAAATTTTTTAACATATTTAATATAGTTAATATATCTAATATATTAGATATATTTAATATAATTAATATAATTAATATAGTTAATATATTTAATATATTAAAATATGTTATAAATACAAGCATTTTATAAGTTAGAAAAAATAGACTGACGGCTGTATAGAAATCTCATCTATAAAAGATAATGCAATACTACTCTTCAATTTTATGTATTTTTCTTATTTATTTTATTCTCTTATATATATTTATTATATCTTATTATCTTATTATTTTCTTTTTATTTAATAAAGCATTTCTTATTTTTATCGTAAAACTCTCATAACTATTGTAAAAAATCTTAACCTATAATTAAAGTCACTTACGTTTAGTAAACTTAATTCAATTTGATAAACTAATAGTAAAATAATTAAAATTAACGTAAAACTGATTAAAATTATATATAAATTATAAAAGAGTCAATCTTTTAATATTAATTTTACAAATATTAAAGAATATAACTAGAACTTTAATTATAACTACATAAGTATAAATAAGAATACAATTATTTATTAGTATTTATATTTCTAAAGATATTTTGATACCTAAGTCTTGTAATATTTAAATCTATCAAAATAATAGAATATTTTAACTATAGAATATTTGATTGTGTTAAAATTTTGATATAAGCATCTTTTTTATTTTTGAAAATTTATTTTGATCTCTATTTTTTAATTATAATAATCTATATGTTATTAGTAAATAAAAAAAATTTTGAATATAATAATTATAATAAAGATTTATATATAATATTTATATTAGAAAATTGTGATAGATTTTAAAAGGTATATAATTAAATAATTGATCTTTTTTTATTTATTTTAAAAAATAGTTTTACTATTAATTTCTTTATTTTAATCCTTTTATTTATTTTTTCATTAGTATATAATTCAAAACTATTTATAAATTATTTAATTATTTAATTATTACAATAACGAAGCAAGTATTTGATATTTATAAGATTAATTTAAGAAGTTAAATAATATAGAAGAAAGAAGATTATATTATTAATGTGAAAGAATTATATAGATAGTACTCATTATTATAATAAAATTATAAATTTTTATAAAATATAAAAAATTTTGAGTTTTAATTAATTAAATATAATTAAATATAATATTTGTAGTTAGTTATATAGTATTAAAGTTAAAATGTAGCATTAAAGTTTAAAAGAAAAGATTTAAAACATAATATTAGAGTTCAAAAGAAAAGATTTATTAAGAAAGTCAACTATAGGCTATATAGCCAATGGTTACATAACATTTATGATTAGTTACATAGAATTAGAATTAGTTAATAATATTAATATAGGTCATAATATTAAGGATATTAATATTTGATTTATTTATTTAACTATATTCAACTAAGCCATTTAAATTAAATCAAATGTATATAAAATCATGTATCTGAGGATTCTTCTAGTTATATCTACTGCAATTGAAATTGATTTTATCTTTATTTAAAATTTAAATGATTTTCAAGTATTTGAAATTGAGATTCAAAGATCAATTAACTGAATTGAAATTTTAATTTTAGATACTCTTTTTATTATTTGAATTCTAATTTCAGTCATAACCTTATTGGTTAATTTTGTATAATTATTTAATTTCAGTTAAATTCCAATTTCAGATATAAGATCATCTAAAATTGGGATAAGGATATCTAAAATTAAACTTCAGACAAAATCTGAATTTCAGATACAAGAGCTATCTAAAAGTAGGATATCTGAAATTAAACTTCAAATAGAATCTGAATTTCAGATACGAAGTTGTCTGAAAATTAAGGATATCTGAAATTAAACTTCAGATAGAATCTGAATTTAGATACAAGGTTATCTGAAATTAAGATATCTGAAATTGAACTACAGATAAAATCTGAATTTCAAATACAAGGCCTTCTAAAATTGGGATATCTGAAATTAAACTTAAAATAGAATCTGAATTTCTGACACGAAGCCATCTGAAATTGAAATATTTGAAATTCAATTTTAGATAGAATCTGAATTTCAGATACAAGGCTATCTGAAATTGAGATATCTGAAATTAAATTTTAGATAAATCTGAATTTTATACAAATTATGTATTTTTAAATTTAAATTAAAGTATTATGAAAGAATCTTATAAAATTTTTATGATTTTTTAACTGTTTTTTTTTTTTATTTATTTTTCTTTACTACTCTATTATAATAAAAAAAATTAACGATTCCTTTTCTTTATAATTAAAGATTTGAAAATATTTAAGTAATTTTATTTTAAATTCGCCCCTCAGCTTTAAAATAGAATTATAAGTAACTTGTAACAGCATGAGATCCTTTTCTATTTGCTTTCTGCTGTTTTAAATTAAAAGAAAAAAAAAAAGTAAATGTTTTTAACATGTTTTTCTAATTGAATAAATATTTTTTGCTTTTTCAGGTTGGATCACTTCGGTCTGAAGTTTAATAAAAAAAACCTGAGAAATGTATGAAAATGGAAATGAATAAAATCACTTATTAAACTGACGCAGCACCCGATGCGATCGAAAAAAAATAAAATATAAGTAAAATAAAACAAAAAAAAAAAACAAAAAAGAAAAAAAATAAAAAAATTGGAAACTTAAAAATTTCTGAAACTAGTTAAAATATTTTTTTATAAGTTGTCTGACATTCGAAGATCATCTGAATTAAAATTATTATAGTTAAAATATTACTACTATGTTTAGCTAAAAAATAATCTCTGCTACATAAGACGACAAAACAACCTCGCATCTAACAAGATTCAAAAGGAGCGAGCGTAGGGTTAAATAAATAAAAATTTTTTTCTTTTTCCATTAAAATAATTTGTTAAAATGCTTTAATAATAAATTCACATAGACTACTACTTAACAAAAGAAGGAAATTGAAAATTTCCCAAGTTTAGGACGTAACACAAATAAAACTAATGACATAATACACGCCATATTGTCTAATTTTGGTTAATCTGATTGTCCATACACAAATTTATTTGTCGATCGTTCGAATGAGGCGATAAATCGACCTATTCGAGTTACTTTGACATAAATCCTCTCTGTCTTTTTCATTTTTTTTTCATAATGACTTCGACATTCTATTATGGTCTGTCAAGGGATCTTTCCCTAGCATTAAACGATGCTGATGATTTTAATGTTATTATTCACGTTGGCGAAAGCCCAAATACAAAAGAATTTCGTGTACACTCGGTAATACTTCGAGCACGATCACCATATTTCAAAAGTGCGTTTTCTTCCAAATGGATTATAAAAAAGAATGATATGATCGTGTATAATAAACCCAACATCACACCAATCGTTTTTGACATGATTTTAAAGTATGAACCTTTTTTTTTTTTTTTTTAAAAAAAAAAAAAATCATGATTTTTCGAATTTCAGGTTAATTTTTATAAATTTTCATTAAATTTTAAGGTACATGTACACGGGTGAACTTGACTTATCCAAACAATTAGGTGAAAATATATTCGAGTTATTAATCGCTTCGGATGAATTACTCCTTGAAGAATTATTCAAACACGTACAAGGCTACTTGATCGAAAAGCATACTAGTTGGATTCAGCAAAATTTTATCTTAGTACTTCAATCCGTATTTAAACTTGCTAATTGTAAGGAATTACAAGATTATTGTCTTGAAACAATTTGCACGGACCCTCAACCATTTATCTCCTCGAAAGACTTTACTTCGTTAGATAGAGACATCTTTTATATCTTGCTTGAAAGAGATGATTTACAGATTGAAGAAATTGACGCCTGGGATTGTTTAATCAAATGGGGTATTGAACAGACACCCGGGTTGGGTGGTAAGAATAGTACTAGAACAGATTGGAACGGTAAAAATTATCGAGCGTTGAAAAAAACGTTGAGTTCATTCGTTCACCTTATTCGATTTGTGGAAATTTCACCCGAAGATTTTTTTGATAAAGTTCGTCCTTTTAGGGCAGCCATACCCAATAATATTTATGAGGAAATTGAAGAATTTCATTATAAAAAAGTATTACCGAAAACAATAACGTTGCCGTCTCGCATAGGAACGCCAGCATCAGCAATTATTGATCCATCTGCAATCATCAAACCAAAACTTGCAACCATTATAGCCAATTGGATAGATAGAAATGATTCTGCCGTACTTTCGTTTAATAATAATTATAAGTTTAATCTGATTTACCTTAAAAGTCGAGATGGGCTTGATTGTAATACTTTCAATAATCAGTGTAATGGACAAGGACCATTTATATTATTGATAAGGGTTCAATCAAAAAAGATCTATGGAGGTTTTAATCCGATCGGTTACAATTTAAGGGAAGGGCAATGGTTACTTACTTCGGACAGTTTTATATTTTCTTTTGAAAATAATCAAGATACACGTAACATGAAAATTGGTAGAGTAATTAACAAGTATTATTCGGTTTATGAGGATTACTTTCAATTTTTCTTTAATTTTGGGAATCATTTACAAGCTTACAAAGGAAATGGACAAAACTTTTTTTACCTTGGTAATCATCGAATATATAGTAATATCTTTAATAGGACGTGTACTCGTGATTATCCTATTGAAGAAATCGAAGAAATGGAAGTATTTAGCGTGGTTAGGAAATAATTAATAAAAGTTTGTGATTTTTTATTTGTAAAGAACTTTTTAACTATCAAAAAACATTTATATAACTTTTATTACTGCTATTATTATGACGACCTGGGTGGAGAGTTAGTATATATGTTTGTGTGACTTATATTATATCATTTTTTAAATGTTTAAATAGGATTTCCATTATAATGACAAGAGATTAAATATAGTATTCCTTTCTTATGTATTTTAAAATAGCTTCGTCACTTAACGGGACTATTAAAATTTATTTGAATTACCGCGGTTCCTTTTTTTTTCTTATGTAAAATATATCTCATTTCAACGTTTGTCCTTTTTTTTTTTTTTAAAAAAAAAAAAAGACATTCGATAAAATAAATTATAGATATGTATGTGAAACTTTACAATGGACCGTTCCTGTTTATCATCCAAACTTTATCAATAAAAAAACTTCAGCAAATTAAATTCTTTTTTGAATAGCATTCCTCTTCAGCTGTCGTTTGGTATATCTACGATATTATAAAATTAGTACTTTACACTATAAACTTTCAAAATATAAAAAACTTTAAGCTTTGCTTTGGTCATTGTAACATATCCTTTTTTTTTTTTATCCTCATTTTCAATATTCAAATCATTATGATAAAAAATATAGCTGTGACACCATATTGAGCTGATAATAATTTTAAAAATTCAATAACGATGGCGTTTAACGGGATGATCTTACGTTTTAACTAGAATTTTATGCTATATAATAAGCGGATATTAAAAATAATTTTACACGTACTTCAATCAAAATTATCAAGCGCATCTTTTGAAACCGGAATGAAGATTTTAGTAAATTTCATGTTACTGCATTTCATTTATTATTTCAAAGAATTATTTGATGATCTATTTCAACAAAGTTTATAATTAAATTTTAAAATTCATCAAGAATCAGTTTAATATCCAGAAGTTTGACTGATAGTTTAATTTCATATATACTGTAAAGTTTTATGAACGTTTGTTTAATACAGTATAATAAATCACTTGGAAGCATTTGTTACAACTTTAAAAACTTCAATAAGAGACGGAACAAAATTAGAATATATACTTGGATTTGTAACAAAATTAGGTTCATAATAACCAGTATATAAAAAGTGCTGCCAAAATTGAATCCATTATTATAATGTTCATGCGTGCATAATTAGTATTAATTACGCGAATTATTTTCATATTTGTAGTATCCTTATCATTTTCAATAGAAAATATAAAGCTTTCACTTGTTCCAAGAAATTTCCCATCGCTGTGAATAAAATAAGTGTATTATGTCCTCCATAAATTTTTGTCGTTGATTGTTGTTTGACTAAAACTAAACATGAATCATGATTATTGCATTTACTACGAAGTGCTGTATAGAATGCTCATCTTGGCTACTGCGATATATAAGCTCGAACTTAAGATTATTTTTTTAGCCGAACTTTTACAACTTCTTTACTTTCAATCCAATGAACAATTAAATTTGCGAGATCTGGTTGATAATTTGTGATTTAATTTCGATTAGCAGTTTCCTAGGTTGTTGATTTGTTGATTTTGGCAAGATTTTTTTATTATAAAATTCCTCGATTTCTTCATAAATATGATTGGGAATAATGGGAATAGCGGTATTATCAGGACGAATTTTATCAAAATAATCTTTGGAAGAAATTTCCACAAACCGAATAAGGTGAATGAATTGATATAATGTTTTATTCAATTCTTCGCTCTATTACTATTCTTACTTCCTAATCCATGACAAAGTTCTGTGAATCCAAGTGGTATGCTTTTCAATTAAGTGATCTTGGTTCATCAAGCAATAATTCATCATATGCAATTAACAATCCGATATAAATTTATATTTGAATTATAATCGAATAAAATAATTGAATTTAATTCATTCATATATATATGTATGTATATAATTGTATTTTTTATTATAACCTACTTTAAAACCATTTCAAAAACGGTTGGAATGATGCTGGTTTTTCAAACATGATCCAATTAGACGAAAAGTCACTTTTAAGTAAGGAGAACGTGCCCGTAAAATAACAGAATGTGCTCGAAATTTTTATATTTTGGTTTTTCACCAACTTGAATAATGACATTTTAATCATTTAATTAGTGAAAATCTTTCGAAAGACCGGAATGAAATACTAAGAAAAATATTGCGAATTTTATGAATATTTTCTTGTGAGGTGAAAGAATTTAAAAAAAAAATTAATGCAAATTAGGATTTCACGGAATCGTGTAACGACAAATACAATAAGATTGCATAAAACTATTTTTTAGGCTTTTTACGAATTAGGTGGCCAGGATTAAGAAATTTTTTTTTACTATGACCATTTCGAATCAATCAGAGGATATTAATTACTTTTTTTTTTTTATTATTATTTGGCGTAAATTACAACAGCGTCAACAACCGATCTGAAGCAAAATCTAATCTAAGGAACCTTATAAAATAAAAGTATATATTCATCTTGTGAATATTCGTTCAGGTGCATGCTAAGATCGTACATTATTGTGCAGCTATTGCAAGTTCCCTACAAAAATGATTATCGGAAAATTTTTTTTTAACCATACGAAAATAAAATTAATTGAAACTAGCTGTAGTCCGCTGCTTCGCATCGGATCGGATCACGGGCGGTGCAACAAATAATAAAGTGAAATGATACACGTTACAATGATAGCACGTTGCCAAAATCTTGAAATCCGAAAAAAATTGTTAGAAGAATAAAAAAATCGTTTTTTTAATTGTTACAAATG